ATTTTAATTACAAGTAACTCTACTGTCTGATGACCCATCCATAATAGCTGTGAGTTAAGAGATTCCAGTCAGTTTTCACTTTTAATGAAATTTTATAATCCAAAATAAAATTTCTGAACACCCTGTCATTTACATCATAATCCAACACCAATAGCAACAAAAACAGGTGGTGTGGAAAATAAGGCTCTAGAGATTATCCATGTCATTCCTGTGTATCTTCACAACTGTGTAAAAGTCTCTAGACCTTTGGTGCTTTAATATCACGAACAGTTATGAGATATATTTAAATAGCAAACTTGCTGTCCTTAAACCTACTGTGTTGAAAAGAAAAATTTTAAAAATTTTTGGGGGCTCATGGACTTCTTCAAATAACTTTTAAAAGTTGCTCTTCTAAACAATATTCCTAAAAATTTTACAGCTCATCTCAGATTTCATCTTTGCCATGAACAAGACTCATCTTCATCTTCATCTTCATCATCATGTAAAAACAAATTGAGATTTCTGTTTCCTATTCCTTGACTTCTTCCCCAGACTCAGGCACCTTGACTTTGTGCCTTGATACTTGTAGCCAAAGGTCTTTGAATTTTGACCCTTGGTTGGCCGGTGGAAAATGCTAAAGCCAGTCACCTTTCTCCTCCGCAATGAAGCCATCAGCTGTGAGGGCTTTGGGGCAGTGGTCCACCACCATGTGACTTAGTGAACCCCTTCCTCTTCCTCCATGGACTTGGCCTCTTCCTCAACCTTGAGAGGACATGGTCTTTCTTCGACCCACAGGTAAAATACCTCCCTTTAAAAATCCTTTTCCTGATTTTTAAAAAAATCTTTAGCACTTCCCACTATATACATTTCACCTCATTATCTTGTTATCTTTTTGGTTGACGTCTCTCTCGTCAGAATATAAGTTCCAAGAGGACAGTAAACAGCTGCTCAATAAATGAAAAAAAAAAAAAAAAGAATTTGTACCTGGTTTCACCATATCTACAGAGGACCTAATAGCAACAGGTACTCAGTGTATCAAGCAAGTAATGGAAAGATCTAGAATTCTGAGGCCATTCCTGAGGATGGCACATCTGAATGGAAGGTCCCAGTGAGAAACAGTCAATTATATCTTGAAGGCACTGAGTGTTAAGGGGAAAGGAAAATTTCTCAATGTGGACATGACAACTTTGTATCTTTTTCTCAACAGTGGTTACTAGGGAAGGCTCTGGGTCCTAAGGACATTGTTTATATTTGATTCAAATGAATCATTTACAAAGATTACTGATTCACATTTGGCAAAGGCAGATAAAACTGACATTTCTACAAATTGTTTCAAAACAAATTTAGTGTTAGAGTAAGATCTTTGTATTACAACACTGTATGATGGGTGCAGTTTTTCAAAAGCATAATCCAGGGCCATTTTTTCATTATACCACACAGTGTTTCTGTATTGAAATTATCTCCATGATCGTACTGTAAAATATTGTGAAAATATCACATGTGGGTAGTGCAGGGTCATTTTTAAATAGGGAATCATTTTGAATCCCCATGTAACTTAATATTTTCTTAATAATTGTGATCAAAAGATTTCAGGGAATTTGGGAAAGTGTCACAAAATAGTTGCTGAGCAGGAATAGTGTGGAATAAAAATCAGGGTTTCTTAATGAAATTAAAATAAACTGACTTGGAACTTGGAGCTCAAAATCCAAGCTCACTTGCATGGTATCTGCCATCCCCTGTTCATGTAGGATACATTCCTAGCCAGGAACGTCAAGTCCTAAATAAGTCTATCCAGAATGACATGGAAACTGATCAAAATAAACTAACAGCTATGGCAGACTGAATGTCCTATCACAAAGATCAGAAAGTTTTGAATCTCATCCCACTTAGTGGTTGTATGACTTCAAATAAGAAACTTAACCACTCTGAGCTTTTATGGCCTCATCTCAAAGCGATTACACATTAGTGCTGACTTCCCTAGTTGTTTGAGGATCTAATGAAGGTATGTGTGCAAAAACATTTGGTAAACTGAATTGCTGTGCAAATGTAACATTTGTGAATTTTACAAGTCTTTGGCACTCAATCCTCATTTCAGTAAATGACCTCTTTGTTCTCAAGTTCATTTTGTTTGCTCTTATATTAGCCCAAGATTTAATTTCTTATGCACTGAAGTTATTTCTTTAGACTTTGCCTCTGCTGAGTTCTTTCTTGGACTACTAGGACTTAATGACTTTTCAGGCTTCCTTTTGACTCAGCATTTAATTTTAGGCCTACGCTGAACCTGCCACAATAAGAACTGTGTGTAAACTAAGGATACACTCTCCTGTCTAGTGTAACCCATCTAAGTAATCTGTAGTATTTGAGGATAGAGACAAGGTAGCAAGGAATTTCACTTCTCTCTCAGAGACTTAAACCAACTCCTTACCATTTAGGAGACTCACTTGAGAAGACTTCCAGTTCCTCCTCATGAAATAATGTAGAGACCATTATTCCTTCTGTTTGTCTCTCCCTTCAGTATTGAGCTGAGTGTACTTATAAACTAAAACCAGTCTGCAAAAGACTTTAATAGGAAACCAGAATTGACAGCTAATGCTAACAGTGAATGTCTATGTCCTCATTTCTTCTTCATAAAAATAATAATACTCAGCAGATATAGCACTTACTATGTGCTAGGGTCTTTACATGTATTGGATTGGCCAAAAGTTAGATCAATTTTCTCCATAAGCTGGCTCTAGTACCACTTGCTTGCTTGCTAAATTGCTTCAGTCATGTCTGACTTTTTGCGACCCTGTGGACTGTAGCCCACCAGGCTCCCCTGCCCATGGGATTCTCCAGGTAAGAATACTGGAGTGGGTTGCCATGCCCTCCTCCAGGGCATCTTCTCAACCCAGGAATCAAACACTCATCTCTTGCATTGGCAGTTGGGTTCTTTTTTTTTTGGCAGTTGGGTTCTTTACCACTAGCACCACCTGGGAAACCCCCTAGTAGCACTTAGTTGTCTTTAATTTCATTCAAAACAAACTGTTAGGTTGTATTGTGACAGCTGTCATATCAGCATGCATTAAAAACAAAACTTATCAAAATTGGTGAATTCTTGTGTAAGCATTTTAATATTAAATATGGAAAGAAAAGACAATGTTTTTGACATATTATGCTTTATTATTTCAAAAAAGGTAAAAATGCAACTGAAATGCAAAAAATGTGTTCAGTGTTCAGTGTATGGAGAAGGTTCTATGACTGATTGAATATGTCAAAAGTGGTTTGCAAAATTTCATGCTGGAGATTTATCACTGCATGACAAATCTAAATAACCAATTGCTCCCCAGTTAGGTAGACCAATTGAAGTTGATATTGATCAAATTGAGACATTAATTGAGAACAATTAATGCTGTACCCAGGGAAATGGCTGACATACTCAAAATATCCAAATCAAGCATTGAAAATCACTTGCACCAGCTTGATTATGTTCATTGCTTTGACATTTGGGTTCATGTAAGGTAAGCAAAACAAACCCTTCTTCACCACATTTCCACATGTGAGTTTCTCTTGAAATGTAATGAAATACGTCCTGTTTCTAATACAAATTGTGATGGGCCATGATAAGTGGATACTGTACAAAATGTGTAATGGAAGAAATCGTGGGGCAAGTGAAATGAACCATCAGCAACCATACCAAAGTCTGGTCTTCATCCAAAAAAGGTGATGTTGTGTATTTGATGAGATTGAAAGGGAGTTCTCTATTATGAGCACCTTCTAGAAAACCAAAGGATTAATTCCAACAAGTACTGCTCCCAATTACACCTACTGAAAGCAGCACTCAAAAAAAGGCATCCAAGATTAGTTAACAGAAAATACATAATCTTCCATCAAGATACCACAAGTCTGCATGCTTCTTTGATGACTAGGCAAAACCTTACAATTTGGTTGGGAAGCTCTGATTCATCCACTGTATTTACCACATTGCACCTTTGGATTTCCATTTATTTCAGTCTTTGCAAAATTCTCTTAATGGAAAAAATATCAGTGCTTGGAAGACTGTAAAATGCACCTGGAACAGTTCTTTGCCCAAAAAGATAAGTTTGGGGAAGTTGGCATTATGAAGTTGCCTGCAAAGTGGCAGAAGGTAGTGGTAACAAATGGTGAATATGTTGTTCAATAAAGTTTTTGATGACAGTTAAAAATGTGTCTTTTATTTTTACTTAAAAACCAAAGGAAATTTTTGGCCAACCCAGTATTATTTCATTTCCTATTCACGACTATCATCCTCATCTTAAAAATGGGGAAACTGAGGCACCCAGAGATAAATAGCTAGTAAGTGATGGAACTGGGATTCAAACTCCAGAATCAGGGTCCAAAGTCTGCAGTCTTAATTTGATGCTATACTGCTGATAATAATAATAGAAATTGTATTATTACATATTATTATATAACATCAGTATATATAACAGGGGTAAAGAATCTGCCTGCAATACAGGAGACACAGGAGGTTTGATCCCTGAATTGGGAAGATCCCCTGGAGGAGGGCATGGCAACCCACTCCAGTATTCTTGTGTAAAGAATCCCATGGACAGAGGAGCCTGGCAGGCTACAGTCCACAGGGTAGCAAAGAGTCACACACAACTAAACCAACTGACAATGCACACATATAACAAATCACCCCAGAATTTATGGGCTTAAAACGTCACAGTGTATGTGTACTAGGAATCTGGGTACAATTTCACTAGACCTTGTTTCAGCATCTTTTCCAAGCTGAAGTCAAAGTGTCATCTGGGGCTGTGCTAATTTCAAGGCTCAAGCAGAGAAGGACCTACCTCCAAGCTCACTCACATAGTTATTGACAGGATTCAGATTCCTGCAAGGTGTTGGATGGAAGTTATTCTAATTCTGTGTCACCGTGGCAGTTTGCAAAGTATATAAGCTGGGAAGGCAACAGTGATCCAGCAAAGAGGAAGTCACCATATCGCAGAATGTCATCACAGAAGTGACATCCTATCACTTTTGCCAGATTCTACTGGGGGAGAATGGATACATGTACATGTTGGACTGAGTACCTTCACTGTTCACCTAAAACTATCTCAACATTGTTAATTGTGTGTGTTAACCACTCAGTTGTGTCTGACCCTTTGTGGTCCCCATCAGTTCAGTTCAGTTCAGTCACTCAGTCGTGTCCAACTCTTACGACCCCATGTACTGCAGCACACCAGGCTTCCCTGTCCATCACCATCTCCCGGAGCTTGCTCAAACTCATGTCCATCAGGTCAGTGATGTCATCCAAGCATCTCATCCTCTGTCATCCCCTTCTTCTCCTGCCTTCAATCTTTCCCAGCATCAGGGTCTTTTCCAATCAGTCAGTTCTTCTCATCAGGTGGCCAAAGTGTTGGAGTTTCAGCTTCAGCATCAGTCCTTCCAACGAATTTTCAGGACTGACTTCCTTTAGGATTGACCAGCTTGATCTCCTTGCAGGCCAAGGGACTCTCAAGAGTCTTATCCAACACCACACTTCAAAAGCATCATTTCTTTGGTGCTCAGCTTTCTTTATGGTCCAACTCTCACATCCATACATGACCACCGGACCCCATAGTGAAAGTGAAAGCGAAATTGCTCAGTCGTGTCCAACACTTTGTAACCCTGTGGACTGTCGGTCACCAGGCTCCTCCATCCATGGATTTCCCAGGCAAGAGTACTGGAGTGGGTTGCCATTTCTTTCTCCAACTGTACCCCATAGCCCAGTGCAAAATAAAAAGCTAAAAAAAAGAAAAAGAAGCAAGTCACTTAGTCCACTCATAGTCAAGTGGAGAGGGTCACACAGAGCATGAAAACCAGGAGGTGAGGAGCAATGGAAGTCATGTCAGAAGCTGCCTACCCCCATAATAATTCATAGTATTGGCCAGGTAATAATCCAGATATTTTACATGTATTAATTCATTAATCCTCAAAACAAACCCCATTCAACAGATGGGTTAGTAACAGGGAGTGCCATGATTACACTTCAGGGGAAAACAGTGAAGAAAAAAATGAAGAGTACTACCTTCTTGTATTCCAACAGAAAACAATTCAGAATGCTTCAAATCTATAATGACAAGCTAACTTTACCACAACCACGTAATGGGCCTTCTGTAGCTAATGGCAACCAATACTTCCTCAAAGCACTTCTCTAGCTCTACTAGCCCTGGGAGTGGGGAAGAAGGTTATCTTTAAAAAATAAATAAAAAACACTTTCTCATTCACATTGTTTTAAAAATGAATATATCTTTACATTGATTCAGTTTTCAAAAGTGAACTAATAATCATCATCTTAAGTCTTCTATTTGAAAATCTACCAAAGACTCAAGACAGCAAAATGAATTACATTTTTAGTTCTAAATTTTTCCAGATCTTGTTTCTCTTCAAAAAGTTGAGGTGGCTGGCTCCCAGCTGGCCAACCTTAAAGAAAGATAAGACAGAACAAGTATTTCCTCTGAAAGAGTCCAGGCAAAGTGGAATTGTGTGGAGGGAGCCCTGAAGCACTCAGCCTCTCTCTCTGCGAGTGTTGGTCTCTCAGTCATGTCTGACCCTTTGCAATGCCATGGATGATACCTGCCAGGCTCCTCTGTCCATGGGATTCTCCAGGCGAGAATACTGGAGTGGGTCGCCATTCCCTTCTCCAGGAAATCTTCATTCCCCTCTCGTGGGAATCTTCCCAACCCAGGGATTGAACTCAGGTCTACTGCACTGCAGATTCTTTACCATCTGAGCCATCAGGGAAGCCCATTTCTCCATAACCTTGCCCTCAAAATCAGAGTCGTGTGGAAGAGACAGGTCACAGGACAGGAGCTGCTGGCAGTCCTCTCCCCTATTTTAATAGGACTATAGCAGTTGCTTATTATAAGAGCTGTGTGGAAGGCATCCCAGATTCTTAGGCCACTGGGTGTACGTCTATTTTCAAGTCTCTGATATTTGCAATGACACATCCTTTAAACATCTAGAAGCCAGTTTCTGGTCAAGTTAAAAATATCAGCAAGTGAATATAGATTCCAAATCCTAAATGTGAGCAAATGAAATTTAACTGTGTCTTATTAAAAGAAAAACATTTACCAAGGAGTGTTAATTCAGTGATATAGGAAGGATTATTAATATGCTAATGATTCACCACATTCACTAGTCAAAGAAATAATAAATCTCAATGGAAGCCAAAAGGATCTTTTGGCTAAAATGTGACAGCTATTCATAATTAAAGAAAAAATATCTCATTAAACTGGGGTTGTTGTTGTTCAGCAGTTAAGTCATGTCTGACTCTTGGTGACCTCATGGACTGCAGCATGCCAGGCTTCCCTGTCCTTCACTGTCTCCTGGAGTTTGCTCAAACCCATGTCCATTGAGTTGGTGATGCCATCCAACCGTCTCATCCTCTGCTGTGCCCTTCTCCTTTTGCCTTCAATCTTTCCCAGCATCAGTGTCTTTTCCAATCAGTAGACTCTTCCCATCAAGTCGTCAAAGTATTGGAGCTTCAGCTTCAGCATCAGTCCTTCCAAAGAATATTCAGGATTGATTTCCAAATCCTACATGTCAGCAAATGAAATTTAACTAATGTTTCTTAAGATTAGTGAATGTTTCTTATTTAAAAAAGCAACATTTACTGAGAAGGGTTAATTCAATAATATAGGAAGAATTATTAATATGTTAATGATCCATCGCTTTTATAAATCAAGGGAGAAATACAATCTCAATAAAAGCCAAAAAGATATTTGCTAGAATGTGACAGTTATTCATAATTAAAGAAAAACTATCTCATTAAACTTAGGAAGAGGAAGCTTGGAGAAGGCAATGGCACCCCACTCCAGTACTCTTGCCTGGAAAATCCCATGGACAGAGGAGCCTTGTAGGCTACAGTCCATGGGGTCGCTAAGAGTCAGACACTGTCAGTGACACGACTGAGCGACTTCACCTTCACTTTTCACTTTCATGCATTGGAGAAGGAAATGGCAACCCACTCCAGTGTTCTTTCCTGGAGAATCCCAGGGATGGGGGAGCCTGGTGGGTTGCCATCTATGGGGTCACACAGAGTCGGACACAACTGAAGTGACTTAGCAGCAGCAGCAGAGGAAGCTTATTTTACCATGACAGAATTTTTATCTAAACTGGTATCATGTTTAACAATGAATGAAACACTAAGAGAATTCCCAAAGTCAGAGTTAAGGCAAAGATGCTCTTCATTACTTTTTAAAGTGCAAAAATGAAAATCTAAATGTTCAGCAATTGTGTATAAAATAATTTCTGATATGCATATAATATAGAATCATGCAGGTGGTATAGTCATGCTGTACATTATGTGTACATGCATGCATGAGATTCATAGGCGCATAATACAGTTGACCCTTGAACAATAAGAGCACTAGGGGTCTAACCCTACAGAGTTGAAAATCTGCATATAACTTTACCATCAGCCTTCCTATCCAAGTTTCCACCTCTGCAGATTCAACCAACTGCAGATCATTTAGTACTGTAGTATTTAATGAAAAAAATCCACATATAAGTGGACCCACACAGTTCACCTCTGTGTTGTTCAAGGGTCAACTACATGTATAAATCTATACATATGTAGGTACTGTATATTTTTAAATGCAAAATATATTTATTTATATTTATATTTATTTATATAATGCTTCTGGTACACAATTAAATTCACACAAACTATTAACAATGATTCTTTTAGAAGAGTGGAATTGGTAGAATTGAAGGAGAATTAGAATGGAAAGATCCTATGTAAAGAGAGGCCTGTGTAAAGAGCAATTCTGTACATTATGAAATTTCCAATTAAAAACAAGAGTAGGTATAAGACATTAATACATCAAAAAGTAATCTAAATGATATACCCCTAAATATTGATTTTCATTGTTACTGTTTTATGAGTAATTTTTCCCTTTGTTCTTTGTGTTTTCCAAGTCCTATTAATCACACATTCATTTTGTAATTAAGGAAAAGACTAAAGAAAACTTTGGCAACGTTTACTTTATAGATCACACTGAACTATTGCAGAGTTCATAGGGGAATCTGTTTATCATAATCTGGTTTCTAGAAGGGTCATGATGCCTCCTAACTCTATCACAATCTTATAAAACAATTGGGAAGGCTAAATGCTTCCATTTTATTACAGGGACAGCTCTCTTTTCTATGCTTGGGTGCTTTGGTCTTTTCTCTGAGGTTCAGAACCTTGGAATCAATCTTTATTCCTTTCCCTCTTTACCATCTGGAGATATTCATGAAATTCTCTGAATAATCCTTCCTTCATTTCACACATCTCTTTTCCATTCTGATCCCACATCCTCTACTGGTCTAGGCCTTAATTACCTCACATCTGGACCACTGAAACATCTCATCGAGTCTCCTTGCCTGCCAATGTTGTCCTAGTATGTTTATGTCTCCTTGTCTTGCCCTCATGTCATTCATTGCCTATGTGCACCCTTTACAGTATCCAAGTAGTCTAGTCCTTGTTTATCTAACCTTCCTACCTCCTACATCCCTACTTCCATGTCTATGCTCTTGACATTTCTCCTTGCAATAAACAGTGCCTAAGTTTCATGCTTTCTTCCTAATTAATCCCACCCCCATCATGCTCTCTGCTCCTTCCTCATCCTGTGTATCTCCAATCCTTCTTTTGTACACATTTCTTAAGCATGGACTATATACCAGACTTTGAACTAGACAGGGTGTGCTGACTAGTTTTCTACATCAGTGACTAGACCTCAAAGGTTATGAATCTCAAGTTCATAACATTTCGTGCTTCAGTATTTTACCATATTCTCCAATAGCAACAGAGTTCTCTAGGTGCCCTACACCACTCTGCTTCCCTCTGACTCAAATCTCAAGATGTCTTTATTGCACTCAGTAATTAATACATACCTCATATATTCTAGGCTTTATGCTATATTCTAGGAATTTAAAGGTGAATAAGACCTGTTTTGTACTCACCAAGAGCTTCAGTTTAATGGGGAAGGTGGACAGGAAAGTAAATATAGCAACGAGTAAAAGGTGAAAGTGAAAGTGAAGTCGCTCAGTCGTGTCCGACTCTTTGCGACCCCATGGATGGAGTAGCCTGCACTAGGCTACTCCATCCATGGGATTTTCTAGGCAAGAGTACTGGAGTGGGTTGCCATTTCCTTCTCCAGGGAATCTCCCCGACCCGGGGATTGAACCCAGGTCTCCCACATTGTAGACAGATGCTTTACCAATGTACAGAACAAAAGAGAGTGTTTAATTCTACCTGGGAAGAGCAAGGAAAGCTTCTGATATGAAATAATACTTGAGCTGATAGCAGATAGAAAAGATGAGGAGAGTATTCCAAACATTAAGAATAGTATTGCAAAGTATTTAACACAAAGTATTAAATAGCACGGCTTGTCAGGAAACCATAAGTATTTCCGTATGACTGGAGCACATGAGGCTAGAGAGCTGGGTTGTGGCCAGATCTTATTTTGACTTGTTTTGCATTTGAGAGAGTGAGTAAACAGTAGAGAATTTTAAGCAATGAAGTAACATGATTAAGTTCGTGTTTTGAAAAGTACCTCTGGTGGCTATACGGAAAATAGTTGAGAAGGGATGAGTGACAGGCTAAACAAAAAGTTGCAGGAGGTTGTTATAGTCCAGGAAATTAATGAAAACCAAGCAAGAAATGAAGTAGGAGAGTGGGGATGAAGATGGTGAAAAGGAAATGGTTTGGAGAAATATCAAAGATGTGACATCAACGGGACTTACCAACTTTTGGTTTTTAAAGGACAAATAAGAGAGAAGATTAAACAATGACTTCTGAGTTTCTGATTTAAGTTATATAGATCTCAGA